AAAAATAAATTTTATTTATTTTTCTTATTTTTTCTTTTTAGAATCTTTATTTATTTATCATTTATCTTTTTATTTTAAATAATTATTAAAAAATATCAAGATAATATTTCTAAAACTTTAAATTTTATAAAGAGAATTAACTTAATTAAAAGAAATAATTTTGATTAGAAAATATTTTTTACTTGAAAAATAAATTTACTAGTTATTATTAAAATATAAACTTAAAAAGATTTATAACTTTTAATAAATTATTTATAATGATTTTATATATATAAGAAATGATAAATCAAAAAAATTTTAAAAAGAATTTAATTATCTTATTAAAACTTGATCTTACTTAGAGAGATCAAATATTATTATAGTAATATAAATTTCTTTAATTTTTATAATTTTTTAAACTTTAAATTTTTAATTAATTAATTAATCTTTAGAAGATATATAATTTTAAATAATTTAATTAGTATATTAATTATGAATTTAATTATAATTCAGTAATATTTTTGTAAAACTTTAGTAATATTTTGAAGCTATAAGTATATAATTAGCTTAAAAATTAATAATAATTTATAAATAGTTTATTAATAAATTAAAAATACTTTAAAAATTATTTAAAAATAAATTTTATTTATTTTTCTTATTTTTTCTTTTTAGAATCTTTATTTATTTATCATTTATCTTTTTATTTTATTTTATTATTTATATTATTTTATAATTTATCATATATATCTTATCTTTTTATTTTATTTATTTATTTATAGTTTTTTTATTTTAAAATTTATAATTATACATTAGAGTAATAAATAAGTTATAAGTAAAATTTAGATGAAATCTATATAATTTTAAAGATATATAAATATCTCTGCTCTCAAATATGAAATAAATATATTTAAATAGTAATAATTTTTTTATTCTTAAAAATACTTGAATTATACTTATCTTATAAATTATCTTTGTATTTTTTACTTTGATATTCTACTTTTAATTATCTTTTTTATTATAATAGATTATATTCTGATTAATCATATATTTTTCTTGTTTAAAAAATATAAATAATAGATACTTTCTACTTAAAATAAGTTAAGTATATTTTATTTGATTTATAAAGATTCTTATAAGTTTTTTCTATATATAAAAACTTAATTTATTTTTGATATATATTCTTATTTACTTAATAATTAAAAAAATACTATTAGAAAATTTAGTCAATATATTAAATCTTTAGTTTTAGTAATAATAATTATTATTTTAGTTTTAAATATCTATTCTTGTTATATTTTATAATCATATCTGCTTGTATTAATATAATATTTATAAGTATTAATATTAAAAAATCTTTAAAATAATTATAATCTTCTTTATTTTTATAAATAATTTAGTCTTAGCTCTTAAAACTTATTATAGATTATATTTCTGATAAAATTTATCTTTATAAATATAGTTTATAATAATACTTATAAGTTATTTTTAATATTTTATTCAAGTTAATATTATATTAATAATCTAAATTTTTATAATAGTTAACTATATAATATCAAGATCAGAATATTTTTTATTAAAATAATTAGCTATATCTTCATGATGAATATTTGATAATACTTTAATTCAGAATAAATATATTTCTTTATATATAATATTACTAAGTACTATATATTTTTTTCTTATAAATTAGATCTTTAAGTAATATATTATAATAAGAAATTTAAAAAAAATAAAAATATAATAATAAAATATTTTTATTAAGAATAAATAAAGATGATATTTCAATTAATTATAACTTGTAATAGCTAATCAAAGAATTATAATTTAATTATAATTAATTATAATAGTTAATCAAAAAATTATGATCAAATTATAATTAATTATGATATTATATTTAAAATAGATAAATAAAATTATTTAAGAATAAAGATAAAATAAAGATAAAACAAGAATATAAAAATTAAGAAATTATTAGTAATTAAAATAAAATAAGCAAACTTAAATATATTTTATAAAAAAGTTCTAATAAGAATCTTATAAGTAACAAGAGTATTTTTTACTAATTTATTATCTTATAATTTATAATTAAAATTATAAATAATATAATTAATTAATCATATTTAATATTATATACTATATTCTTATTTGAAGAGTAATTAGTTAGAACTAAAATTAAATAATATATTTATATTTTTATAAATTTAATATTATATATTATATTTTTATCAAGAGAGTAATTACTTAAAATTAGAATTAAATAATATATTTTATATTCTTATTATTATAATATTCTATATAAAATTAATTTATATTTAAAATTAATTTATTCTTAAAAATAAAATTCTTATAAAGAAATTTAACTATATTTTTATTAAAATATATTTTAAATTAAATTATATTTTATATAGTAATTTTGATTAAATTATATATTTTTTTAAATTAAATCTTTATTTTATATTATTTATATTATAATTTATCTTTTATATTATATTTTATAAAAATTATTTTTATTTTAAATATACAAATAATTATTATATATTTAATTAATTTAAAATTATATATATTATTACATAAATAATTATTATATATTTCTTAATTTTAAATTTAAATTATTAATATTTTTAATTAACTTTTATTTTTTTTTCTTTTTAATTATTATTTATATTATTATTTATATCATTATTAATTTATTAGATTATAATTTATTATTATCTAAAAATATAAATTAAATTAATTAATTATATTTGATTTATATATATTTTATATTATTAATTATTATTAATTTATTTATACTGTATTTTATATTTATTTTAATTCTTATAAATATATTCTTTCTATTTTATAAAATAATTTTAGATTTGAATATTTTTCTAATAATAAAATTATAAGTTTATAAATTAAAATTATTTACTTCATATTTTATTTTATTTATAATTATTAATAAATAATCTTATAACTTAATAATAATAATAAATATAATTATTATAAATATTATTTACTATATCTTATATTATACTATATATATTTTATATATAATATATATTTTAGTTAGTTACTTGAATTTTAAAAAAAATAAATTAAGATTAATTTATATAATTTATATAAAATATAATAAAACTTATTAATATAATAAAAGAAAATAATTCTTTAACTTAAAGTTCTTATTTTATTTTTTAATTAAATTATCTATCTATTTAAAAAAGCTAATAAAAAATATATTTATTTAAATACTATTAGTTAAAATTATTTTTTTAGTTTAAGAAATTATAAAAGAAAAAATTCAAGTATAATATATTATCATCTTTTTAACTAATATCATTCTTTATTAATATTTAAATAAATATAAATTTAAAATAATGATATATTATTTAAGAAAAAGAAAGACTTTATTATTATTATCTAAAATATTTTTTAATTATTATATTTAAAGATAATATTGTAACTTAATCATAATTTTCTAATTATTAATTATAATTCTCTGATTAACTATCACAAGTTATAATTAATTAAAATAATATCTTTAATTATATTATTAATAATATTTTTATTAATAATTATATCTTTTTTATCAGATTAAATTTATACAAGATTATAATATAAAATTTAAAAATATAATTTAATAAATTACAAACATGAATAATTTAGATCAAGTTATATATTTTATAAAAGATCTTAAATCTATTATCAAGATAAAAGTTAATTATATAATAACTTTCTTTATAATATATTTTCTTTATATGAAAACTAATTAAACTCATAATATAATAAATAATATTCAAAATTATCTTTAATAAAATCTATTTGATATAGTAAATTTATTAATAAACTCTTGATATAGTTAATTTTTAAAAATTTTTTACTATTAAATTTTTTTATTATATTATTATGTATCAAGTATCAGAAAACTTGAAAAAAGTCTGAAAATTAGCTATTATTATAATATAATTATATATAAATAAGATAAATTTCTAAATATTTTAAGTAAATATAATAATTATTATTTATATTAATATCAAAATAGAAGTTATCAGAATAATAGTCCTATATTAATAAAATTAAATCAAGCAAAAAATTATTATAACAAGAAAACCAATCAGAAAAATAATAAATTCAAGAATATATATTATAATTTAATCACTTTGCAAAAAATTATTTTAAATTAAAAGTTAGGATTATAATATAGAGAACTTTCAAGAAAAATTATAAAAAAATATTTATTAATAAAATTAATTAACTTTAAATAAAGAAATTAATTTCTATTATATTACTTTTAATTATTTTTAATTTTTTCTGAAAAATTATTTTAATTATATAAAATTAAAATAAATTTTTAAAAAATTCAAATAAAATTTATTCTAATAATTAAAAGCTTTAATATAATGTAAAAGTTTATATTTATTATATTTATTAATTTTTTGATTATTATATTAATTAAAAATATATTTTAAAAATTTTTTATAATTATAAAAATTATTTATAATAAAATTATCTTTATAATTAGATTTATTATAAATAATATTAATATAAAAAATTATTATAAAGTTCAATAATATTATAATTATAAAATTGATTTATAATTATATCATATTCTTTTAATTTCTATATTTACAAATTTTTAAATTATAATTTTTATATTTAAGTACATAATTATATGATAATATAATTATATTATTCAATTTATTAATATAATATTATCAAAATAAAGAACTTTGATGATAACAATAAAAACATTAAATAAATATTATATTTAAATATATAATCTAAAAAATAATACAATTTATTATTAATCTAATAATATTAATAAAAATTTGTTTAAATTTTAAAGTCGATTAATCCAAAAAAAGATTGGTAAAATTTTAATTATAAGATTTCCCAAATTAGAAGTCATTATTAAATACCAACTTGGTCATTTATTTATATCCACTCTTACATATTTTTCGGCTCTGGTTTAAATAACATGGAGCCATACAAAGAAGAAACCATTGGGTTTGCTGCAATATTTGATGTTTTATTAAAAATAGCCATGGTCGTGGGTCCGGTCGTTGGATATTTTGACCAAATTGCGAGTATTCGTCGTTTAAAGTCAAGCGCAGGATTCTCTATAGATACTTGTGGCGTGTTGTTAATTAGCAGGTATATATTGCTATAGGTATTTTAATTATGAAAAATAACTTGATAAAATATTAATATCTTATCATTGAATTATTCATTTTAGTATTGTTCGTCTGTTTTTTTGGTGAGTTTTGATTCGATAATTTGAATTAACTGATATTATATAAATTGCTAATTAACTTACGACTCAAATAACAGGTTTGGAGACAGATTTGACATCACATTAGCATATCAAAGCATACTAATGATTTTAGTACAATTAGTGCTTCTCTACGACTGCATAAAATATAGATACCCTTTATCGCCAGGACCCAATCGACGATGGTTTTGGAATTGGCACACATACAAATCATACATCCTATTTATGGGAGTGCTGACTGGCGTACTACAAATTTTTTATTTGTATCTTGGAGAGTATGATTGGTTTATTCAGTTTTTGGGATATTTAGTAAGTTGGATTTATTAGTGCTTTCATTATTGTGGATAGTTGTTTTGTTAAATCTATATATGTTCAATTTATTACAATTTAATTTATGGTTTGCTTCTTTGAGGCTTTGGGCATTGAAAGTACAGTTCCAATGCCACAAGCATGGGAAAATTATCAATTACAATCAGTTGCAGGATTCAGGTAGCAACCTCATTACTTATTTGACATTATTAATGATGAATTAACAATTAATCATACTATTTGAAAACCTGAATTTTGAAAATTCGTAATCAACAAAAAGCCCACTTATCTTAATCTCTTGGTTTTTCGGCGACTCATACAAGACTTTTTACTATATCTACGCCAAACTCCCGCTTCAATTCATACTCTGTGGGATTATACAATTAACGGTGGACTTTATCATTGTGACGCAATTTTTCCTTTTTAATATCAAATTGAGGGGTATGTTGGGCTTAGATACTTCTCAGTTGCACGAACGATTACGGCGGTCACCGAGTTATAATTCGCTGGACGAAATTTTGTAGAGAAACGGGACGGTGGCGGTCGACTACTGAACGAGTCGGATCATTATCATTTGTTGTAGATTTTTTTTATTGTGTATGTATAGGTTTTGGGTGTATCATCTCTTTTTTACTCTTAGTCAAGATCTTTCAGATCAGGTTACGGCCCATACTATACGTTAATTATGATCCTTCTGTAGACCTGGTTGACCCTTCACTCGCAAAAACATCGTTATCTCTGTCATATCTCTAAAGAAACCAATCAAACCCCTCCATTGAATTCATTCTCAACATGTAGATCCTTTCTTAAATACTATTTATTTTTCTGAATTTTGGAATTTTGGAAAAAGATTTCATACAAAATAAAAAAATAGCCATGAGACTGAGGATGAACCTTATATTTATTGGTTGGTCTAATAGTAAAATGAGAAATATCGTGCCATCTATATATGCCAAAAAGCCGTCGACAATTAGCATATGAGAAATAAGGGTATGTAAAAATATTAATTAACATCAGATAAATTAAATTTGATTTAATTGAATTTTGATGAAAAAGAATATACAACTATTATTACTGCTAAATAGAATAATCAAAGGAAATTTTTGAGTAAAAAACTAATAACTACTACAGTAACAAGAAGAATGTTCTAATAGCTACGTGATTAATCATTATTAATAAATCGTCCATTTTATCCATCATCCATTTGATTCATTGATCCAAATTCGAAAAGTAAATAATTAATAATACCTGGCTATAAGATCATCCTTCAACAATAAAAAAATATAAAATTAAAACTATTATAATTAATGCTATTTTTTTATTTAATAAATATTATTATTCTTATTATTATTATTATTATTATTATCATTATTTTACTACCATTAAATTTTTTATATTTTTACTTTTAATACTATGTTTCCTTAAGCTGCATCTTATACCGTCCGTCTCTTAATTGATCCATTGGAATCCTGGTTTTTGATCCATCCATCCGTTGTATTGTTACCTGATAATACTTAAACAACTTAGTTTAATTATGACGATAATAATATTATTATAAGATTGATATACCTCATGCTTAGTTCCCATAATAAATTTTGCATTATACCGACCAGAATGATTATCAATTATAAGAACAGAGTCTCCTTTAGTGAAACGATTGCCACGAAAACAAAATCGATCTCCTTCAACAAACATTTCTAGTGGTGATGACGTAGGGTACTGGTGATTATGATCATTATTATTGTGGTGATTATGATTATTACTACTGTTACTATGAATATTATTAATATTACCGATATCTTCGTTATTATTGCTGAAACTGAATTGGTGATGGAAATGATTGTTATTACTGTTACTGTGACTATTGTTAGAATTATTGATGTGATAATGATGATTATTGGTTTCGTCGGCGTTGCTTCGATAATCGTCTTCGTCTATATCCTCTAATTCTTCCTCGTCTTCATTAGGAATTATTTGTAATAATTCCGGTGATGGTGTATCGTCTTCTACTACTATTGTTTGTAGCATTATTATTTTATATTTAATATAAAGAATTCCAATCAATCAAATATCTGATTAATTAATATTAAAGCTATTTTTTTATTTATATTGATACTGCTGATTAGAACAATAACAACTATGACTACGATTACTGACCTGATACTTCATCATCTAATCCAATCTAAAGTATAAAAACATTCAGAAATAAGATAATATAATAATGATAATTATTCTATCAGCATAAAAATCTTATGCAATACTAAAGAAACCAATATTATGTGTAATATTTATTTACCCCCATTTGCCGTAAATCAGACTCGTAATCAGATTGTGGTGTTTGTTCTATCCAAGGAGGTAAGTTTCAATTAAGGCTTTAATCCAAATTTTTTATTTTTACATAAATATATGCAAATTTTTATATCACAATAGATTAACATGTAAAAAAAAGGATATCAGCTGGAAATCCATATCTCTCTTGAACGCTCGTTAATTCTTGAACGTTAATAAGCCTCATTTGTTTTGCACGAACAATCTGATTTCGATCAGGCAGCGTATATACTGCTACATTAATAAATTTATTTAATATTTATAATAATGTAATATAAGAAAAGACTCATTGAATGTTTGCAAAACACTTATTTAACTCGGCAGACTTTTTTTATAACTGACCTAAGCGTGCATAATTATCTAGGTTTTTCTTGTCCTCTAGTAATTTCCATCGTCTACTACTTATCTCAGCTAATCTTGCTTTTCGCCATCCAACTCTCTTTGACTTTTTTATTAAATAAAACAGTGATAAATAATTAACAATTAAAAGGTTAACGACTTGAAATGAACGTATAACAAATTTCCTTTACTTACCAGAAACTCACAGTTTGCCCGATGATTTGTGGAGTTTATCTGATCACGGGTGCTTTCCCTGTACTGCTTTCTTCGCGCCTCTGCAACACTTATTCGATGCCGTCTTCGTTTTTCAATTTCATCCATACCTGTGCGGAATCCAGCATGTGTACCTATTTATTGAATTTTTGTTAACAATGAGACCACAAAGTATTGCTTTTTGGTTCTTTGAGCAATTTCTCAAATTAATGAATGAGCGAATAACTGACGAAGAATAAATAGCTGTGTAATATTAATATCCTATTATATAGGAATGCATTCAGCAAATTTACCAATGAGATTATCTATTAATGATTTTGTCTTTGGATTTTGATTCACTGTTAGAGAATATTTAAGCTGAAATTAACATAATGTCGGCCGAGAAAGGGAAAAGCAAAAAAAAATCGGGAAATAACGAAACCAATATATCATATAATTTCTGAAATGTGTTTCATGCTTTTGTGTTTAACATTATTTGTTATGATGTGATTTATTTTTCGTACCTTTTATTATTAAATCTCGTTCATTATCCAATTCTCTTGCTTTTTCTTCCCAACGCCTATCAATGTCCATACTGGAATGGGTTAAGCGGCTTGAAGGGTAAAGTAACTTGCGCGAACAATGACTCACCTGGTAATTAATTGTTCAAATTTTTCTTCTATAGCACGATACTCCTCTGTGGCTTTTGGGTCGGCTCTCGGACTGGAAGCGGTGGTGACGGCACCTCTACGTCGTGTTATATCGCTAGGTACTGCTTCCGCTTTTTTGTTGATAATCATCCGATGCAGAAATATTATTATTATTGAGTTTTTATATCTTTAATCTAATTTCCAAATTATCTCATTTATAGACAAAACAAATAAAAATATCAACCTTCAGCTTCATCATCAGCCAAGGCAGTATTTTCTTCTTCATTTCCAGTGTCTTCAGCTGTTTGCTCGACTTCCTCTACTGGAATTTCTACTTGATCCATCGAGTTAGTTCGTTTTCGCTTCCCAGTTTTAATAACACCATCTGGGAAGGGAGAATGGTGAGGTTGAGTTTGTAATTCTGATTCAAAAGTGATTGATGGTAATAATGATGGTATTGGAGGACAAGTATTATCAGAGATAACATCGGCATCATCAACCGACAATGAAGATATATCTGGCGGTGTCTTTGATTCTGATTTCGATATTATTGTCGTTGTATTTTCTAATTCGGGTTTCGCTTCTATGGGAGTCGTTGTAGCCGAAGAACCACTACTACTGTTATTATCATTAGCAGTTATAATAATAGTAATATTATTGTTTGCTTTTTGTTGTGATTTTTCTTTTGGTGAACTTTTATTGTCTTCTGTAATATGATTCTCGTTATTACTTGTTAGTATCAAGTCAGATGGCGATTTAAGCTTTGAAGTAACAATCAGCTCACTTTCCATTTCACTTTCACCGACTTTTTTCCCTTGCATTATTGTTGTCTTTGTTAATTGTGACCGGGTGTGACCATTTAGTTCACTTTTTTGGCTCTCTTTTTTCTCTGTCAACGAAAAATCTGCTACTCCGCTTCCTCCCAATTGAACTCCTTTGCCATTTTTATTATTGTTATTATTATTATTATTGTTATTACTATTATTATTATTATTATTATTATTGTTGTTGTTGTTATTATTATTATTATTTAA